TCTCTCTCTCTCTCTCTCTCTTCCCCCCCCCCTCGGTGTCTCTCCGTTTCTCCCCGTGTCTACCTCTACCTCGCCTTCCAGCCCGCCACTCCGCCGATGTGCGTTCGGTTCATGTCGCGCGCAACATGCGCGGCAAAACCGCTATCAGTGGCACAGGGTACGTGGCGCGATGCCACTGGTATCACTACACATTCCGCAAGCTACCTTCGCGAATATATTGCGCGCAGGGCAAGTAGTGCGACGGGCGCCGGATATACGAGCGTGGAGAATAAGTGAGAAACTGAAGCGTCGTAGAATTGTCATGTTGGATACATGCGCATTCGCGAGTGCAAATGCATGTATATATCTATGTGTTAGCGTATATGCATTTCCGAACATAAATATTTGAGCACTCAATATACCCTCGTGAACGCGCGGCTCGCTGCGCACAAAACATACGCATTGCGTGCGCAGCCCGCGCGCTGATGGAGATGCGCGCGATCTGGCGCGCATGAGGCCGCATGAAGCGAGGTGCGCTCCGCCCGCAGCCGCGCGCGCATCTAACCGAATGCGCGCGGAGCTCACGCGCGTGGCAACGTGGGCCATCGCGCCACTCAGGGCGGCATGTATCTGCATTTGGGTGGCCGCAGGGGCGCGCGCTTTTTCCGCCGCAGCTTCCTGCTCGATCAGCGGCGCTCGTTGGAGCGCAACCTCTCTGCCATGGGGGGGGGGGGGGGGGGGTGCGGGGTAGGGGGGGCAGAGGCCCGCGCCCGGCCGGGGCGCAGCTCGGGGGGAAGGAGCTCCTTGGGGGCGCCGCCCGCGCGCCGCCCCGCGAGCGAACGATCGCATTGGCGCAGTGCCTTGTGCAGCAATGCGTGCGGGTGCCCATGTCCCACCGGCGGATCCAGACGATTGCCTCGCTGGCGATGCCTGGCGCCCAGACTTTCGGGCGCGCGGGGGATCTTGGCGAGTCGTCGGGGTCGGCCCGTCTAGCGAATCTCGGCTCGAAGGGCCTCTGCTCGAGCAATTGCTGGAGGGGTTTCAATCTCGCGTCGACCGACGTCAAGTTGCCCAAAGGCAAGACTTTGACACTGCCGACCAAAACTATCACGACAGGTGTATATAAGGACCTCAAGTTCGATCTATTGTTGCCACATGAGTTTGCGTCTGCACTGCATGATCACTATGATATTTCAGAGAGCGCGCGCGCCCAGGGCGCGAGTCTTGCGGAGCTTTCTGGGCGGGGGGGGGGGGGGGGCGTGGCCGATCAGCCGCGCATGGTCCCTAGGTGGCAGTCCGTCGCTGCCCCGGCGCGCACGTTCACAGATGGGGTTCCCGCGAAGGGCGCCGGTAAAAGCTGGGGGGGGGCCCGCGGCCGCCACCAGTTGGTCGTCGTGTTTAGCACGCCGCGGTGCCGCGCTTCAAACCAATATTTTGGCGTTTAGTATTTGGGGGCACTTGGTTTCGAAGTCCGTCGGCGACGTCGCCATGGCCCGCGCCCGGCGGGGGATTCTGGGAAGAGGCCGAAGCGAGACTTAGACGGCAATGAGATGTACAGCGGACCCTAGGAGCATCTGGCAGGAGGTTTCCGCTTCGTCCTCTTCGGCTTGAAAGCCGACTTGGAAGCGCCGTCAACGGGCGCGCGTTTTTTTGTTGTGCGCGCGTGCGTGCGCGTGCTTTGATGCCCTTATTTTCTGCCGCCGCGCTGGCAGGGGGGGGGGGGGGGCGCGGGTGAGATTGCGTCGGCCGTGTAACTTTGTCACTGTGTATATGGCTGTTGTCACAGTGTATATGCCAGTTCGCAGCATTGCAGCTACCCTCTCGCAGTGGCGCGGCATCTGTGCTGGAGTTGCGCGTGCATGTGCCCGTTATTGCTGGCCGCGGGTCGCTCCCAGGAGTTCGAGCTCCCGTGGCCGACCTCCAACCAGCCCTGCGCGAAGTGCCCGCGCAATGTCGCGGACATGCCGTGGTCGGACGCGTCAGACCACGCTTGCTGGATGCCTCGCGCGTGGAAGGACCACGCGTGGAAGTTGCGGCTCCCGAGCCATTATCCGATATTCGATCTGCCAGGTGCTTCCATCCGAATGGTGATGCTGGGCCTCCCCCGCGTGAAACACCTTGGAACCGATGCTCATTTCTCTGGTAGCGTATTGTGGCTCCTCTGTGATACGCTTCTCCCCAATAGCGCAGCGACCCACTTGAAGCATATGTTTGACCAGTGCCGTGCTTACTGGGACCGGGAAGGCGTACCAAACCATTACAGGAACCTCAAGCTTTCAATGTTTGTAAGAGAGAACGACCTCCCGAGGCTGAAAGGCAGGGGCGCTGAGATCAAGGCGACGGCGCACCCCGTCGTGGAGATATGGGAAAGGTGGATGGAAGACACCCTCGATGAGCATGCGTACGTGCATGAAGGCTTGATGATGCCTGCTCGCATGGAAGCAATACTTAGTGCACATGCGCGTTGCGCGCGGCTCCCGCCAGAAGCCTCGCATGAGTTTGAAGAGGGAGCGTTTGCATTCCTGGCCGTGCAGATAGCCCCCGCTCTTTTTTTTTTTTTTTTTTTTTTTTTTTTTTTTTTTTTTTTTTTTATTATTTATATATATATATTATATATATATATATATATATATATAATATATATATATATATATAGGTATATGTATGTATGTATATATATATGTACACTCAGAGAGTCCCTCACCCGCTCATTTTTTTCGACGTGACAATTACGAGCCACTGCCTTGCCCACGTCGGTCTCGAGTGTCTTTCTATGAATCCCAGAATGGGGTGGAACTACACGGGCGAGCATTACGTGAGCCGCATGAAGGTAGTCGCTGCCTCGTGTTGCAAGGGCAACAGGCCCGCCCAGAGCCAGCGCAATACAATTCTAAGTACAGGAGCGGGATTCACTATAGCATCACCACGGACCTGTGGAATCACACTGGGTTTCACTAGCGAGAGAAAAGTGGATGCAATACGCCCCCGTGGTATATTGTATCTGTTGCTGCAAAAGAGAATGTGGATTGGCATGTGAATGTAGCTGGAAGCGCGCATGTCAATATACGTGGAACTATCTGTCGTGCATGAATGCGTTGCGCTCGCGCGCATGTACATATACGTACATATATGATAAATAGCTATGAGTTAAATCTTAACTCTGGACTAACACGCTTTTTATATATGAAAATATGATAGTTAATTGGAGGACAATTCGGAGATACATAGTTAAAACGTTATCTTTCACGACCTTGGATACGTGAGTACATACAAAAAAACCGAGGATCACATTTAATTTAATTGATCTTAAAGGTCGTCTGGCCCGACCCTGGCCCGCCCCCACCCCCCTCTCCGTGAGAGGCCCTCGCTGCTGTCTCATGGGAACTCCTCGTCGCCGCGGAGGCCGTTGGGGGCCCCCTCCTCGACCTCTCTCTGCCATTCCGTCCTCCTCCCTCGTCGTCCTCCTCCCCTCCTCCTCCTGCTCCTCCTCCCCGCCCTCCTCCTCCTCCTCCTCCTTCTCCTCCTCCTCCTCCTCCTTCTCCTCCTCCATTCCTCTTCCTCAAAAGTAGCTCCTCCCTGTCGCAGCCCGACACGGGTCGTCAGGGCGGGCCGGGCGTTTCCCATGAGCCTTCCCCGCCGCATAAAAGCCACATGCGCATCACCTTCACGCATGGACGGCGGCTTCTTTTCAAACTGTGGCTCTCGCCTCAGCGCCGCGCACACTCGCATTAAAGGCTTGCAGCTGTTTCACGGATGGACGGCGGCTCCTTCTCAAACTGTTGCTCTCGCCTCAGCGCCGCGCACACGCGTGTTAACAGTTCAAAGCAGTTTCAAGGATTCGGTTGACGGACCAGAAACGGTGTTCTGGCATGGTATAAGAATTCGTCAGGGCGCTGCAGAGTCACGTCGATTCGCGGTGCTGACGTCCCAGAAACAAATTTCTGGCATGAGTTGGGATCGTCAGGTCGCAACACTGACATTAATCCGCGGCGTTGTCCAAGGAATGGTGCAGTAGCACGGTGGAAGATTATCAAACGGTTGTCTTCCAAGAAGGCACCTTCCCCAGCAAGGACAAATACGTAAATCCTAGCATCAGCCTGTGAAGGCGGAACTCGGAGGGATGGCATATTGAAACATCATTCCTGAATCTTGGGTTGTTCATGTCCTCCTCCTCCTTCTCCTCCTCCTCCTCTTCCTCCTCTTCCTCCTCCTCCTCCTCCTTCTCCTCCTCCTCCTCCTCCCTCCCTCCCTCCCTCCCTCCCTGACTCCTTCTCCTCAACCCTCCTTCCGACTTCTCCCTCCTTGGGCCGGCGGCGGCAGCGCGCGCCTGCTCCACCCACGGGGCCAGTGGGCCGGTGAGGTTCAGGTGCTCGCCTCGGCGATTGCCGCGCGCGTGAGCGAGCCGCGCCCGACGCGCGTCGCCGCCGAGGGGGCGGGCGGGCGGCTGAGGAGGCGGGGGAGAACAGTGGAGGAGGGAGGAGGGGGGGAGGAGGTCGAGGAAAGGGGGGGGGAGGAGGAATCTTCTCCAGTGGAGGGAGGAAGGGTGGCAGCACGGTTGAACTGCCGGACGGAGAGAGGGAGACAAGCAAGAGCGAGAGCGGGAGAGAGAGAGAGAGAGAGAGAGCGATACTATACAGAGGAAGGGACACACATGTGAATCTATCAATATATATATATATATATATATATTATATATGCGCATACATACATATATATATATATATATACACAAGCACAGCGAACCATCACCATATATGTATATGTATATGTACCTATACCACCACCCTTCGGGTGATAAGGAGGTTGTGGGGGGGAATGGGGGGAACCAACATCTGACTCAATCGATCTCACTATCGACTTCACTCAACGTAACACCACGGGACACCACGGGACACTTGTCGATCTCACTATGGATCTCACTATCGATCTCACTCAACGGGACACCACGGGACACCACGGGACACCATGGGCCACCACGGGACACCGCGAGACACCTCTTGATCTCACTATCGGTCTCACCATCGATCTCACTATTGATCTCACTCAGCGGGACACCATAGGACACCACGGGACACCACATCGATCTCACTATCGAACTCACGATCGATCTCACTATCGATCTCACTTGACGGGGCACCACGGGACACCTTGGGACACCTGTCGATCTCACTATCGATCTCACTATCGATCTCACTCAGCGGGACAACACGGGACACCTCGGGGCACCACATCGATCTCACTATCGATCTCACTATCGATCTCACGATCGATCTCACTCAGCGGGACACCACGGGACACCTGTCGATCTCACTATCGATGACACCACGGGACACCACGGGACATCTCGGGGCACCACATCGATCTCAGTATCGATCTCACTATCGATCTCACTCAACGGGACACCGCAGGACACCACGGGACACAGGCGGGACACAGCGCGGCACCAGCCGCCGGAGGAGGAACATTTGGTCCGGCCGCGGCCCAGCCACAGGAGGATTTCGGAACTTCCGCGGGACACCGGGGGGACACCGCGCGGCACCGGCAGCCAGAGGAACAATTGGTCCGGCCGCGGCCCAGCCACAGGAGGATTTCCTCTCGCCCGCCCACGCAGCTTCGCCTCGCTCGCACGCACATGTACGGCACGCACGACACGAACCCGAAACCGAAATCGACTTCCCGGTAGGGGGGGTCTCCGTTTCACGTCGGACTCAACCCCCCAACCTCCGACAGAGAGAGAGAGAGAGAGAGAACGGGATAGAGAGAGAGAGAGAGAAAACGAGAAAGAGAGAGAGAGAGATGATAACGATGGATATGTGTATGTCTAGACATATACGTTTACACACATATGTGCATCACACACACACATATAGATATAGATATAGATATAGATATGGATATCGAGAGAGAAAGAGAGCGAGAGAGCGAGCGAAATACATATCGCGATCAATGGCGGTGCGACGGTGGGCCATCTCTATCTTGTGGGGGAAGGTGGCAATGGACGAGCACCTCCACTCCCCACAGTTCCCCTGTGTGCTGGTGGAAAACAGGTAGCGATGGTTACGAGAAGCATGACTGACAACACCACCAACGAAGACATTTACTGGGGTCGCCCCCCCCCCCCCCCCCCCCTCCGTTATCCGCCACCATGCCCCCCTGGTACGCTGAGGCAGAGTAGCATGCCAAGAGATGCCTGGCAGGGCTTCTGTAAGCATTCTCAGGCCCACCCCTCCCTCGGCGTGCCACCAACAGCTGTATGTCCCTTCCGAGGCTTCATGGTTGCTTCCGAGGCCGCTCATGAAGACACCACCAAGGCCGCCCAAATGACCCAACATTGCCCCAACGCTCAAGGGACACCCAGCATGCCTTGAGACGCGCTCACCAGGTCTGAAGAGGCCTCGAAGAAGCTCCAATACCCCCCCACGACGCCCTCCAGAATACATAGGGAGACTAACAACACACATCGTCCGATGCCGTTCCCTTTTTGTTTATTTCCAACCCTCCTGTGGTTGAGGTACTCGTTTTGAATAGTGCAGTGTGGTCGCGTCCTTCCTCCTCCCTCCCACCCCCCCTCCTCCTCCTCCTCCTCTTCCTTCTCCTGCGTCTCCTGCCTGCGGGGACTTATCATCATCGCCACCATCATCATCATCATCATCATCATCATCACCACCACCAACAGCATCATCGTCATCATCATCAACATCATTACCATGCCATTATCACCATCACCATCACCATCACCATCATCACCATCATCGTCTTCGTCATCACTTTCGTCACAATCATCATCATCAGCATCATCATCATCATAACCACCACCATCACCATCATCATCATCAGCAGCAGCATCATCACCATCACCATCACCATCACCATCACCATCACCATCACCATCACCATCACCATCATCATCATCATCATCATCAGCATCATCATCATCATCATCATCATCATCAGCATCATCATCATCATCAACATCATCCTCGGCATGATCATCATCGTCTGATGCCTGGCGGACTGCGATCTGCACAACTTTCGCCATTTTCGTGGGGTCCTGGGAGGGCCAGCGGAGCGGTGTCCCACGCGCACCCAGACGAGACCTCGAGATTCCCTCGGGGACTGCGATCTGGGCAACTATCGCCACTTTCGTGGGGTCCTGGGAGGCCCGGCGGAGTACCGTCGGTGACTTGGACGACCGAGCCCGGCACACGGGTTGTCCACAGCCCGAATCATGGAAAAGACAAGGGAAACGGTCGGACGACAGCTGGCAACTTCCGAAAACTTTTGGGAAGCCAGCGTTGACCTCTCATGAAGTCTCCCACTGCACCACCGCCAGATTCCGCCGAGCTTCCACCAGTGGCGCCGTCCTCGTTTTACTTGCGTTGGCTTTCGCCGAGGGCGAGAGGTGCACCCTTCGAGCCCTCATATTGGATCCATGCACATCTCAATGGCGCACGGCGGATCGGACCAAAACTGGCATCCAAGAGTCAGATCGGCCAGGAATCGAAGCTCCTAAGTTGGCCAGGCCTCCCAGGGGCCACTGGCAAATGCCCATGGAAGGCCTGGCCAAACTTGGTGCTGGCATATCACTGACCCCTCCCGCGAACTTGACGCGACGCCCCATGACTTCCGAACCCGCCGCCCTTGAAGGCGAAACTATCTCATTTTTTGGCGCAAACGCAAGGCGAGGTGCATCAGCAGTAGTCTGGCTGATGGGGCAACGTCAGGCCTCCCCTCCGACGAAGTGCCACGCAGCATCTAAGGCAAGGAAAATCCGCACGCCCCTCTGGGTGACTAGCGCATGCAACCACTTCCTCCCAAAATCCCCTCGGCAGAGGACGGGCAACTCGCCTCATGCAATGCCCAGCTACCCTCGCCCTTTCGGCAGATGGCCCCGATGGACATATTTGCCGCTGGCAACAAGGAGGGTTCCACTCTCCCCGAGTGTTCTTCTGACAAGTGGCACAAATTGTCGAATGGGTCATCGGTGACAGCATTGACAGAACATCTCTGGCCCCAAAAAAGGGGAGATCTCGGGCGAAATTGGTTGAACCACCTCAAATCTGGGCATCCCCGAAAATGCAATTCCGACGATCTCCCAGGCAAAAAAAGCCGGGACCACGTGAGGTAAGGACCTAAGTACATGAATCCGGAGTTGCAAGGAGATCTCCAGCGAAACGAACAGTCCACGGCAACTGCGAACCCAGAACAGCGAGGAACGGGATCGGATACCGTGAGGCAAGAGCATCGACTAACCCAGACTAGCGAGGATGCATCGGGCGAAGATGGCTGGACGACCTCAGGCTAGGTCAGATCCGAGCCCAGATTTGTGACGAACTGTGAAGCGAACCTCGCTGGACCAGTTCATGTCAGGGCATCCATGGGCCCTGAGTTGCGAGAGTGTGTGAGGAGAAGCTGGATGGACCTCTCGTGTGCCTCGAAGCCCACAACGGCGAGGATGTCTCAAGCCAAAAGGGCTGGACCGCCTCAGGACAGCGGCGAGGATGTCGAAGTTCAATGGGCTGGACTATCTCTCGCGCTGCATCTCGACGCCCCCACAATTGCAGGGATGTCTCAGGCGAGACCGACTGGACCGACTCACAGGCGGCACCTCAAGGCCCGATATAACAATGATGGCTTCGCCGACACCGACCCGGACAACTTCTCGCATGGGGTCTCCTAGCTCGAAATCCCCCCCCGCCTTCTGGGCAGAAGATGGCCCATCGCGATTCCTTGTTCAACCCCATTTTTCCCCTTCGGGGATGGGGTCATCGCTGCTCCCGTATCATATTTGCCACCTCGCCCAATCTACCGACCGCTAACCCGAGTCACTGCCACCCCCCCGCGATTCCAACCAAAAACCAATTGAAATATCCCCAGGCAGCTTCCCCATTGGAGCTCGGAAATGCGATGCGATCCGTCAGAACCATGATCATCGACTTATCATGGTTCTGTAGATCCGCCACCGTGCCTCTGGGCACGGAGTGGGCGTGCCCTCAGGTTCTTACCATCATCCTCTCAACCTCAGTTCCCGATCCTGAGGAGTCGTTCAGTAACCCAAGCCCCACATCGCGAAATCTTCTCCTGGGGCTTCTCGCGGTTTCTCGCGTGACTGTTTCGGAGCGATGGGGGCCCCAAAATAGGCCAACAGGGCCCAAAGGAGCCCATGACGGCCCCAAACGCCCCGAAACGCCCAAAGATCGCCCCAAGACGCCCTACGTGGCCTCAAGATGGCCCAAGAGGCCTCCAAGATGCCCCAAGAGGCCTCGAAGATGCCCCCCAAGAGGACCCTGAGGCACAAATCATTGATTTGCCTTCGTTGTTTGAAAGGTTTTGGCGTTCTCGCCTTGTTTCCTTTCCGACGCTCCCAGACGGCC